GGATAAATTAGTGGATTTAAAAATTGGAATAATTATATATGTGTTGATGTGCTTTCTTTATGGCCTCTCCCAACACAAGTTCAGGTCCTCCAAATTTGTAGAAATGTGCAAAGTTGTAGATATGGTGCTAGATACTTTACAGGTGATAAAAGTTCAAAGAATAAGATTAATAGCTATATGTTCTTTAGAACATAGCATAAAGTTGCTATTGAGAACAAATCATACAGGAACATTCCTGTTGATGGAAAAGGATTTGGATGGAAAGTAGATTCTTATTTTCTATAATTTACAACAGATATGCATTTCGAGCCTTATGCTCCTCTTCAGTCCTTATACATAATAAAATATCAGTAAAACTATATAAAAATTACAGAACGTATTTAATAATTATTTATATTTAACACATGCGTAAACTCACAAAAATTTTTAAAAAATAATTATAGTGACAACTGGAATAACTAAGTATTAAAACTGTTGGATAAAATAAATAAAACTGGAATAAATCAAAAAATAAGTAAATAAATAAATATAATAAAATAAAATGTTGTTAACAATAATAATAATATATACCGGTAAAAATAAAATCTTTTGGTTAAAATTTAGAAAAAAATTGACTAAAAATGGTAGTAAAAACATAAAAACTTTAAACCAATAAAAATTTGTCTTTTATTGGTTTTAGATAATTAGAAGGCATCTTTATGGGCTCTTGCATTGATCCAAAACTTGGCTTTACTTTGCATGATAAAAACTGAGAACATTGTAAAAAATTACACTGCAAAGATGTGATTTTTTGCACTTTTGTGAGAAAACAAACATATGTTTAGACCTATTTGTTATAATGTTCTCTCTAGTGTCAAATTCATTGGTAATTTATAATTAATATCTCCAAATTATAGCCCGATTATTTATGGCAGTTGTGGGTGTCTATTGGTTATAATGTTGTTTATTAGCTTTGTTGGAAGCAAAGTCCAACATTCTTGGACTTTGCTTCCAACAACATTCTTGAATAACAGCATCTTGGACATTCCTGGAATGTACTTGATGGAGACTGAAAGAATGCATCTTGTCTTTCTACAGCATCCACATGTTCTGTGGGATTTAGATCTGGAGATCTTGCTCACCATTCCATGCAACAAATATCTTTAATATCAAGAAAGTCATTAACAAGTGAAGCTCTATATATACCAGTAGTCATTATCATCTAAGAAAATTAAATCAGTATTCCCAGCATATCAGAAAAGTGTCATATGCAGCTCAAAAACCTCATCTCTGTACCTTCTTGCAGTAATGACACACCTTCTAAAAAAAATTGCGTTCAATGCAGTCATTAAGCATCTACTGTAGTACTATGATACTATCACCTCCAAACTAATCTCTTTCCACAATGTTCATCGGACTGTATCAAGTTCCCAGCTCCGTCCAGATTCTAATCTAACAAAAATTATTTTAACCCAGATTTCATCAATGGATTGGATGATTATGCTAATTTTTTGGACATGAGTGTATATATTTTTATTGACAAAAATTTTATAAGAATAGAAATAATGTAATAAATATAAAATAATTTTAAACAATTGAATTAATTCATTATTTTTCTCTTTTATACTTAAGTTTTTATTCAAAAATCAAATTTAGATGATAAAAAAGATTTGTCAATTCAGATAACCTTAATTCTTACTTATAAGCACTTTTCTAATTCTTACAGCAATATAGTTAAAATAGAATAATGAATATTAAAGAAATAAGTATTTAATAATTATTTAAGAATATATAATTACTATAATATTTTTATCACAGAACAAATTATGAAAAATTATCATGCATGTTCATTGACACTTTTGACTACAGGTACTGTACTTAATAAATGATTGAATTCCATCCCTACAACTACAGTATCTTGCCAAATTATTAGACCCAAGCAAAAATTAATGACTTACTGGTTTTTGAAGTAATAATTCAATAAAAATGCAATTGTTGATAATAAATATTAATATTTTAAATAATCCTAAGTCTTATGAAATAAAAAGTAAGTTTTTGCTTATAAAAATTTGAATATAACAGAAGTTAAAAAATTAAACTAGTATTTTAAATGATCACCTTTAACAGCCAGTAATGCTTCTATATCACGAGGAATACTCTCTATACATTTTTTTTTTTTTGCTGTCTTAAGTGGGCTATGCTGCCATACCTTGATAAGAATGTCTATCAATTTCCTTTTTGTAGTAGAAAGCAAATTTTTTTACATTTAGAGTGTTGCCACACAAAAAAATTTATTAAAAGTGTTTTTGATATAATAGAGAATAACAACATGATAAAATACTAATTCCTTAAACAATATTACAAAAAACAAGTAAAACAGCAAGGCCATTTTTGAAACAAGACTATGTCTCGGAGAATCAGGGCTCAACTGTGTACCATTTTCTAAGAAAAAGAGAAAAATAAGCACTATCCAGTGAAGAAAAGCTGACACTGATACTCAGAGTCCTGGCATAGATTACAGTGGGCTTCATTGCTGCCGTGGTTACAACAGGTTGCATGGTCACGGGCTTATTCTTGGCTACAGTAAGTGGGATCACTTTGACGCTCACAGCGAGTCTTGTTCTCATTCTCCAATCTTCTTTGGTATCGCTGGTTTTGAGCATGATCATTCAAACTTTGCTGGCCTTGGCCACAGCCATGACCACGAGGTCATCCACGAGGCATTTTGGTGAAATTAATGGGTCAAAAGGATCCAAATGAGGTGTCAGGAACACACAAGAAAATCAAAATGATGAGAGCAAGAGAATAATCATCCATCATAACAACACTAATGGTATGAAAATTCAATAAAATAAATACGTAATTACCGAAAAAACCAGCAATAATTCACTTCCAAACGAACATTTTCTACTGTTTTCAACGGTCATCATCAGGTTCGATTCCAAGAGTTTGAAAAAAAAAAAAAAAACAACAGGGTCGATTAACAACTAAGGTGTTCCGTAAGAACTCATATGCTTCGCTTTTTATACATGCCAAATCACATGATCCTTTTGGTTACAAGGTCTCTGCTTTTAAGACCTTAATAAGAAGGGCTTTCACTCATTGTTCGAGAGTAGAGGGTAGGAAAATGGAGCTGGAATCTATTTCAAGTGTAGCTAGGCTGTATGGTTACCCTACACGCTTAATTAATGAGCTAGTAGCATGCCACGAAAAACCTATGGATGTGGCTCTTCCGGGAAACCTGTCCTTTGTTCCTATTACTTACAACAGGATCCTTCATAACACCTACAAACAAATAGCCTGTTATACGAGTAAAAGGATCACTTACAGGAGATTGCCGACCATTTTCTCTTGTTTAAGAAATGACAAGGACCAATTTGAGCAGAATTGTATCCCAGGAATATATTCTATCCCTATTTACGATCATAGGGTGAATCGTCTGGGCAAATATATTGGTGCTACCGCATGCTGCCTTAAAACAAGGATCAAGGAACACAAATACTCAATTCAAAAATGCCTTTCCACTATGGCATTGGCTTCTTTTGCCCTAGATGATGATGTCAGGGTGGACTTTGATAATGCACGATTAATACAATGGTGTGAGCACCAGGCCAGCCTGAAATATCTCGAACAGCTAGAAATATTTAAAGCATTCAAGAAGGGAACAGCCATCAATTTCAGGAAATGGACTCGTTGGCGAACAGCCATCAATTTCAGAAAGAGGACTCGTGGAGGGCGTATTTTGACATATAACAGATATACATCATGTGTGTTTACGTATTTATATAAACATTGGAATTTTTAAAACAGGAAACCAATTACAGGACTAATTTTGTTAAAGGCTCTACATTGGGCATGCACATAACTTCAAGATTCAATTTTTTCAAATTCTTGGAATTGAACCTGATGATGACCGTTGAACACGGTAGAAAACGTTCGTTTGGAAGTGAATTATTGCTGGTTTTTTCGTTAATTACATATTCATTTTATTGAGAGCAAGAGAATACATGTGTGATGTTGTCACGTGTTTATCAAAATTCAATTTCACAACATTCGCATTTCGAACTTCCCAACGAGTAACAAATGCACAAATCTCGCACTCATGCCTGTTTCTAGAAACAGGGTCATCATTTCGTATTTTATTTTGACCCAGTTCTCAGTCCCGACCACCCACAAGTCTGATTTCTTTTATGTGCGCATGATTTGAGTACCAAATCCTCTGTGGCAAATTGCAACTCCTGACATGTACTCCTTCATACCTCTAAGGTGTCCAGCCATTGACAGCAGTGTGATTTTATAGACAAGACATTGCCTTGTCAAGAAAAAAGTACAAAAATATGATGTACGATTTTAGTCGATGAAACTAATAATTTGGCAAGGTACTGTAGATTGTTAAGTTGATTGTAAATTGATTGATAAACAAGGAGCTTAATTATTTTATTTATTCTTGATAAAGAACTGGTCTAAAGGAAACTCCAACCTAATAAATTTGCTTTAGTTTGCATCTCTACACAACATATAATCAGCAAAAATTATTAAACTGTTATATTGTACCAAAAAAATTAAATTTCATTTATTTAAAAAAAGTCACTCAGATTAATATTTTAGTAATCAAATCTTTCAAAGATTAGTCCACTCCTGGTGCCACTGAATCTGATTCTTCATGTTTCTCCAGCATATGATGTTTGAAACAGAGTACTATTTAATACTACACAATATTCTAATTTGCATGTATTCTTCTCAAGAAGAGTATTCAAAATGATATAATAAATTTTTGCTCTATATATTCAGGAAAATCAGATTGAAATGTTATTTGTAAGAGTAAAAACATAAATAAAATACTTTAAAGAGATTTAATGTTTTTCTGTTAATTGTAAATGTTTGTTTAAATGGCTATCATCTGGAACTATGCTGGATGAAACACAAAGTTAAATGAAATATCATTTTATACAGTACCTGATGATATACAACCCATATAAAACAAAACCATACTGCTTATTTACTTAAAATAAAAATTGTACCTGTTGAAGTACTTTTTCAGCAAATATTTCTTGAAGTCTAGATATTTCAACAACTTTTCCCTCTATTTGTCTGAAATACCAATTATATAATTTAAAATAATCAGTTTCATATAATTAAAATAAAATCAAAATTTTATATGTTAATTTCAAAACAATTTATAAGTTGATCAAATATTATCATTTCTTCTAAATATAAAATTTATATTTCCCTCCAAATTAATTCTCATTTAAAATAATAATTACAATTCTTTTTTTATCACTTGTACCAAAACATTGAACAATTTCTATCTATGCTTTAGAGCAGTATTTCCAAACTGGGTCCACAGATCACTTATACAGACAGTCTGCAAAATGTTCAGAAAGTATCTAGTAATATGCATTTATACCCTAAAACTACATTACTAGAATAAAAACTAAAATAGAGTTGAGTTTTTTCAAACATAAAACTAAATCTTCTTAACCCCACCATAAAAAAACCTTAAAACACAGTGATACTTTTTACTCTTCTAACACTTAGTCATTTTTTATTGACCTTCTTCAGAAGAAAAATATATATCAAATAACAGTATTCGTTTCATCACTGCATTTTAAGGTTTTTTCATGGTTTTCTTTGAATATTGCATTTATTATAAATGCAGTATTCAAAGAACTACGAAATTTTCTTATTTGAAAATATAGTTTATATACATACACACAAACTTATGCATGGGTATACATACATACATACATATATATATATTTATTGGAGTCTGAAAAATTTTTGAATTTTTGAAGCAGTCCATAGATCTCAATAGACTGGGAGCTGCAGTTTTAGAAAATTTCAACTCGCATTCATACATCATCAAACAAAGAAAGGACTAAAATTCACATAGAAATGATGTAAGAAGAATAACCTTTGTATTATTCTTGCTCAGATCATTAAAAAAAAATATTTCTTACAGTATTCATTTGTATGTTTAAAACAACAGTTTTTTTGTACATAATTATTATTATTCTAAAAATTTTAAATTTGGAATTTTCTTATCTTCAATAGTTAAAATGTCAGATTAAGTTAGGATTAGGATATCATTTCTAGATTTAGATTTTCTTAAAAATTACTAAATCTTCATCATTACTACATCATCATCATCATTGGGATATTGTACAGCACTCCATTTCAATGAATTATCCAAATGGTTAAGCTACTGAAGTATCAGGAATACTAACTACTAGAACCACTAATCATGATGTATCGTGGTTAATGGTCCTAACATACCATATATTTTAATTAACTGTGACATTTTGTTCACAAAGATTTTTGGACATACACAGATAATCAACTACATTCAAAGATATTGAAAATCATACCAAGGGCATATTGCAATTTTTATGGAGAATTGATTTTTTATTAATTTTATTTATTTAATCTATTATTAATTAATTTCAATTTTATATTACTAATTTCAATTTGATTAAATTCAATTTGATAAGATTATTTATTTAATTAATCTTATCAAATTGAAATTAGAATGATAATCTCAAACCAAGCAGCTCTATAGAAAATTATTTTGTTTTTAGTTAACAAATTATAAAGAATATCCAAATGAATGGTTTCCAATATTTAATTTTGCCAAAAGACTTCTCAATGGCATTAGAAACATTTATTCAAATTCATTACATGTTTCAGCTTTACATCCTCATCAGATGAATAAAGACAAGACAAATATTTTAACTGATCTGTTACAAGAAGTAGCATTTCAGTGTATTTTTTTTTACAAATCATACAGTTCTCACAAAAGGTCTCCATCAAGAAATATTCTTTTATACAATAGGTGAACTGCTACTTGTTGTACCTGTTGCTATATGTAATCGAAATCCACATAAATTGTAGTAATTTGAAAGTATAAAATAAAAAAGCATAAAAAATGAAAAATACTTTAAAAAAAATGAATATATNTATGTAAATTAGGTACCGTAAGTCTAATACAGTACTGTAATTTTATACATTTCTTGTGAAAGAAACATTTCTTATTCAATGGTGATTAAAATTATTTATATTAATGATGTCTCCAAAGTTCAACAAAGTTTTTGCAGAAAAATAACATCAGAAATCACGGCCGCGGTTTGCTGCGCTGTTCCGCGACAAAAACAAGCTTGAGCAACGGCGATGTCGAATGGTGACCACTCGGTAAGTAATCCTCGGTAAGTAATCCTACAATTTTTTGTTTATAGAGTAGTTTATACGGATTATTTCCAAAAAAAATATACATATTTTGGAAATGTTGAGTTGGATTAGTCTCGAATCGATTAATTTTATGGAAGAAAACCTTTCAAACAGCCGTAGTCCGTAAACTTCACACGTGTCGGGCTGTGATTGGCTGTGATTCCTACAAAATTGATTCATAAAGAACGGAACGTATCTACCGTCTTATAGGGGATCAACTGTATATAAAACTTCATAAAAAATATTTAGACAAATAAATCAAAACCAAATGATCTGCTGAATTATTTATTGAATTAATAAATAAATGCAAAAAACTTTGGATAAACTAGGTGGTTAAGATGCCATCTCATGATAAACTTAATAATTAGAAATAAATTAAGTTTTAACATTTTGGATGAAAAAAATTATATCTATTATTAATTAGCCTTAATATAGCCTGATAGAAAATATGTCAGATCATTTGGTAATACAAGTGTATCAAGTAGTTTTTATGTTAACATATAAAATCAAAATATTTTTCATTATTTTATATCAGATTTCATTATAATAATGTAAAACATAAAACTGAAACCAGAATACGAAAAAAAATATAATATAATAATAAATCCTCACCTAACTTCATCAACTAATGTGTTCATTTCTTCATATAATCTTCTGTTTTCTTGTTCAAACTGTAATAAATTATATTTTTATTTACTGAATAATGAATAATTATAAAAATAATGATTTCAGCAATATTTAAAATAACTAAATCAAAAAGGATATTGACAAACACAAGAATTTTGAAAAGAACTTATAATTATTTAATTTCAAAAACAAAGCACACAAATTTGAAAACTTTTCCAATCATCCTAAATACTAGACTAATATTTAAAACATTTAACTGGTCTAATTTAACAAGTCATTCAATACATTTTTAGTTTTTTCCCCTACTATAAATATGACATAAAATAGCTATACAAATACTAATGTTAAACCATTTAAACTTAAAAAACAATTAAATTACTTAAAGATAAATAGGACTTTTTATTATTTAAAATTGAAAGATATTTAATTTTCTGTATTTTAATTAATATATATTTGCATATTAATCATTTTTAATTATTGAAAAAATATATATAGTGATTTGAAAAATTCTTGCTAATTATGCTGATTTAGCATTTAAAATGATCATTCATCATCATCACTCTGTAAGAGGACAGACGATAATGAATGTACTTTAGGCTGTATATAACACTGTAAAGATTGAATTTTCATACAAATAAATTATTTTAAAGAGCATAAGTGACTAAAATGACAAAGATAAAATAATTTGAAATACAATGTTTTGAGTTCTGAAAAAAAATAATGTGATCATGAAGAAACCAGATATACTTACAAAGTTTAAGCAGAACTATTTATGTAACTAAAAAAATACTAATAACTGTGTTCAAGATTTTTATAAGGCAATTTTGATATAAATAATAAAATATAAGGAAAAATTGCTAGTCATTTCAATTAAAGCTTTTTTTTTTTTAATTGAAAGAACAAAACAATTGAAGACACTGAAATACAGGGTGTTTGAAAAAGATCTATGTTGTTATAAAATTTCATTAAAAAAAGAAGCAGTAACAAAATGCCATTTGCAGTAAAAGAAAGATTAACTCAAAAAGTTCTCTCTTTTAAAAAATTAATACAAAAGCTAAAGCTAAATTGCATACATTTGGCAAACCTCAACATGTGCTCCTTTAGTTGCTAAAGAATGTTCAATTGATAACTGATTTGTTGCCAAGTGTTGTTTAACATTTCCTGTGTAACATTGGAGATTCAAAGAGATAAATTATCCTTTCTTTCAAAATAGTAACATTATGAATAATGTTCAGTGCACATTGTCTTTCACATAACCCTACAAAAAGAAATCTAGTGGAGTTATGTTGGGCGATCTAGGAGACCAGATTGTTAGTCCCCACAGCTAATCCATTATCCACGAAACTATCCATTATCAAGCAAATTATGTAAGAAAACTGCCAGTGAGTAGGTGCACCATTCTGTTGAAACAGTACCTGACAAGAAATAAGTTACTGGTTGGACGTTCTTTGTGCAACTAAAAGTTGAGGTTCACTATATGTATGCAAAACAGCTTCAGCTTTTGTATTAATTTCTGTAAGAAAAAATTTTTTGAGTTAATCTTTCTTTTACTGCAAGCTTCATTTTTTAATGAAATTTTACAATAATTTAGATCTTTTCCAAAACATCCTGTATTTGCAGCATCAATTCTAAGTCAAGTTTGCAACTTGATTTAGAATTGGTGCTGCAAAACTCTATTGTTTTGTCATTTAAATCCTTCATCTTTAGTACGAATATGCAAACTTTCATAATCATCTGTCAAGTCATTTTTTATTTGTTAGCCAATCAAATTAAGTGTGATGACTCTTTTAAATAATGAATAATATTGAGCATTATGCCATCATTAAATATTTCATCAATAAGGGTATGATAAACTGAAATTAAAACTAACATAGACTGGTAAATCTTTTTTTTTCTAGTCTTTTCCTATTGAAAACAATGGAACAGATTTATCAAAATCTGTTCCATTGTTTTCAATAGTAAAAAAATTTTTGCTATTTAACAGCATTACTTAAACATGGAAAAGGGAGCTTGGAAGGTAGTCCTCAGAGTAGATAAGGGAGCTTGGAAGGTAGTCCTCAGAGTAGATGACAATCAACAGCAAATAAATGAAAAAAGTATCAACAAAATCCATAATATGGTGTTGCAAGATTACCAAATTAGAATGAATAGGTAATATAAATAACATCTTTAACCATCCAGTAATAAAAATCTTTTATATAACAAAAACGTTTTCCACCATTTTTTTAACAGCCATCATCAGTTGGACTAGTATTAAAAAAGAACATTAAAATGGAATGTATGAAATACAAATTAAACAGAATCCAAAACACATATGCACAGTTCATCTGATTTGTGTCTTCGAAATAAGAATGAATTAAGAATAAATAAGATTGCATAGGTTATGGGCATATCAATTAAATGGTACGGTGTCCTAACCCAAGATTTGAGTATGTCAAAGGTTTCAGCAAGTTGGGTGCTGCATTTGTTGATACTGGAACAAAATATACTCAATTTTACAATGAATCCATTCAATTTTCTAATGAGATTCATGACAACTAATGTGATCAATTACTACAAACCAGAGTTAAAAAGCAGTCAAACAATATAAGTAAGCTAATCCCCATTTCTATAAAATTTCTAAAAAACAAAATGAATCCTATCAGGTTGTAAAGTCATGGATGACACAAATCCTTGGCATTCCAAGGGCATGTTAATAATAATCTACAAAAGCAAAAAGAAAAAAAATTTATTTAAAAAAGACTACAAATAACCAAGAAAAAGATGTATTTCATTGAGACAATGCACCAGCTCATACAGTTGCAATTGTAATGGCAAAACTTCATGAACTTACATCAATTATTGCTACATGCTCCTTATTCACCTAATATTCCTTCATCCAACTTTTTTCCCCAAAACAAAAATTTCCTGGCTGGAAAAAATTTTAATTAGCTGAAGAAGTTATTGATACAGCAGAAATCTTTCCTGTAGACCTCAACAAATCAGTTTATAAAGAGATTATAATAGCACTGAAGCACCAATAGACCAATGCATTAGTTTTATTGTTGTTGTGAAAGTGGGCTAAATGCACCGTGACCTAAAAGGTCTCTTGAACAGCCCGCAAGGAATTACTTCAGAAGTCTAGTTTCTTTAAAAAAGACAGGAGACCTCTGAAGAAAATCTGGGGATGTCATTAGGACTCAAAGTAGAATCATTTCCTTGCATCCACAAGAATAAGACACTGTAGCAGATAACCAGTTCATTGAGACGCAAACAGCACTCCCAGACAAGTGCAAAAGTAACCTGATAAGTCAAGTTCCTTTAAGGCAGCTTGATTGTCAGAAACAATGTATTGATAGATAGTCTTATTAAGAGGATCTCTATGTAAAATAGTGTAAACACATCAAGTAATAGCTAGCAATTCTGCTTGAAATACGAGTAGTAGGAAACTTACCCAATGGGACAAAGAAGCCCCTGCCTATCATCCTACACAAATGCTAGCACTTGTGCCACTATCAGTTTTAGATTCATCTATAAATCAGACTATATCCTGTGGACAAAAGGTTACCATACTCATATGTCAGTCAAGGCAAGTGAGAAAGGCAACCAGATAATGCCTGTCAAATATTAACTGAGATAACGTTGTCAGAGCCCATAAAACAGATCTTACTTTTTTATGTCCTTCATTAAAGGCAAATGTCCAAAGCACTTGGTCTAGAAATGCATTAGTTTTAGAAAAGATTATATTAAAAAATAAAAAACAATTTCAAAACAAACATTTCAAGCACCTAATATATATTAAAGATACTACTGATAGACAACTTGAAAGCACTTGAAGTTTGTGAATAAAAGTAAAGTATGGTATTAACACTACTTTTTTTTTACAAATTTTATGGTCTGTCATTTGTATTTTTGATTACAATTAATTGTATTGGATTTTTGGACTATTTTGGATTATTATCTAAGTTTTGGATAAAATTTATTGGATTATGTGCCAAAATGACTTCACTGCTTGAATACAAAAAACTTTTAGACTGACAATAGATGAAAAACCAATATTCAGTGGTAATGTCAAGTGAAAATGCTCATGAGTACAATGTAGTCATTTGCAGCAATAACAAGAGCTGGATTTCACTCAACAAAATAATACTGTATGTTTGCTATAATCACAAATCATTTTTTTATTATAAAATGCTCAATGAAAGAAAGATAACAGATATTGTATTTAAATAGATAAGTTGCTACTGGCAATTATAGAAAATTGCCCAACAATAATGAATACAGAAGATATAATTTTTCATTGTGTTAATACAACCTCATATAATAAAAACAGAAAAAAATTCAGGATGTTTAACTACACAATTTCAAATATTTGTCATTTCAATAAATCTTGNAATATATAATTACTATAATATTTTTATCACAGAACAAATTATGAAAAATTATCATGCATGTTCATTGACACTTTTGACTACAGGTACTGTACTTAATAAATGATTGAATTCCATCCCTACAACTACAGTATCTTGCCAAATTATTAGACCCAAGCAAAAATTAATGACTTACTGGTTTTTGAAGTAATAATTCAATAAAAATGCAATTGTTGATAATAAATATTAATATTTTAAATAATCCTAAGTCTTATGAAATAAAAAGTAAGTTTTTGCTTATAAAAATTTGAATATAACAGAAGTTAAAAAATTAAACTAGTATTTTAAATGATCACCTTTAACAGCCAGTAATGCTTCTATATCACGAGGAATACTCTCTATACATTTTTTTTTTTTTGCTGTCTTAAGTGGGCTATGCTGCCATACCTTGATAAGAATGTCTATCAATTTCCTTTTTGTAGTAGAAAGCAAATTTTTTTACATTTAGAGTGTTGCCACACAAAAAAATTTATTAAAAGTGTTTTTGATATAATAGAGAATAACAACATGATAAAATACTAATTCCTTAAACAATATTACAAAAAACAAGTAAAACAGCAAGGCCATTTTTGAAACAAGACTATGTCTCGGAGAATCAGGGCTCAACTGTGTACCATTTTCTAAGAAAAAGAGAA